ATGCCATTGGACTTACTGCTCCCCCGTTTTCGTCTTCGGTCAATTGCCCAAGCATTTTATATTGACCAGACGCTCTCTGAAAATCATTTATAGATATGGGGCTATACGCTGTGTGACTCAACTGTCAACCAACACCTGAAGGCGTTTGACCGTCTGTTTGACTCAATCTAGTCTGCTGTATCACATCCTTTACACTCAACCTTCTCTCACTCCATTTTCACTTCTGTCACTCAATAAATTTAAACCTTTATATATTCGCACCATAGCTTTTCACAATTCTGTTTTACCTTGCCTTTCATGTTTGTTCCTTTTCAGGAAACAAATATTAAACGATTCAGTACACAGACTCGTAAATTTTCATGCTGCAATTTTCTACATTTTTCTACACGTTTTTGGTTCCTTCTCAGTCTTGTCTATTTAACATTTGTCATGTCTGTAAATACATTTTAACACTTTTTTCCACAGAAAAACTGATAAAATTTTTTTACTCAAAATTTTATCCATAATGGGTGAATAAGGTGCATTCTTGACTTGACTTGAAACTGAGGCCTAGCGTGAGGATACAAAAACCCTGACTGTGGACTTGGACATGTAAATCACATTAAACTTCTTGGTTCGGGAACCTGAGTATCGGTTTAATAGATAGAGATACTCAATGACATGATTGATTATAATAACACGTGACGCTCGTCTATCTTATCAATGTCTTCGTAAATTTGAATTACCTATCCTCATCTTAGTACTGCATACCCGGCATACCGTTTCTCCCTTCTACTTCATCATGGTTGTTCGATCAAATAGGTAACATAAATACAGCAACCAGAACCGGTGCAGTAAGATAAAGGGTCATTAGTTGTGGAAACAAACAGACAGAATCTGTACGACGCCAGGAATACTAGCATGCGGTTGGCGGAGGCTTGGATGATCAACGAATTCCTTTTGTACATGTTATTTAAATCGCATTTCTTTCAATAAACAAACTGCTACTCCGGTTGTATTTTGTTGCGTCTCGGTTACGAGGGATACTGTCGTGCAAGTACCAGTGTGATTCAGTGTTTACGTGGCATCCGAGAATTCTGATACGTGATTCTTAATTTGTGATCATTGCATACATCAACCACTATAGAGTATGAACAGCAACTCCTACAAAATAGACTGTTGTTTCTTTGATCAGCGTAAATGCCCGATCCTTGTTAGTAAACAAGAGATTGTTTGTAACTTGTTAAACTCTTGTATCCGCTTCCTTTAGTAGAATGTAGATTGAAAGCGGATTTCCAGGGTTCATTTGTTTCTTTTCAAATAGCTGTATTCAATTCCATCAAAATGAAGAAAGATGTCATCAGAAAACCACAGGACAATGAAGCAAAATGCTCCTCCGAAATTACTCGTGCGGCAAATACTGAAAAGGCAAAGTGAGCAGTTGGCTTTGCTAGGTTTCTGTATAACCGGTGAACCAGGGAAAGTGGCTCCACTTTACCACACAGATCGATAAGTTGAACTTCATTCATCCTCAGACACACTTTGGTCCCCTCCAGTTACTCCTGGAATACTGCTTTTTCCGCAGATGTTATCAAGCTCCCGGCCCCTCGAATGAATCTTGACAGTTGGTCATGAGGGTCTATCGCTTGCATTCATCAGGCATGGTTGTGATTTACTGACTGAAGTGGTGACAGCTACTGTTATTTAGGCTGCCGATCTATGGGTTCTATTTTCGCTCCCTAAAGACCTAGCACTGCCATCCCATCCATATAATGCTCACCTCTATAATTTTGTCTAAACGTTTTCGTCTCATTACTATCAGTCCGTCAGGGCTAAAACATGTCAAACGTGCAACTTTTAGCTGTCTACTTTCTTAGTGAAATGTTTCGCTCCATTCCCTTCAGTTTGCATACAAAATTAAGTTTACCTTGAACCATTTATGTTCTGTCGTCCACCTCTCTAAATGCTTTTTGATTATTTTTCGCATTTGACTCGGTCTCTCTCTCGATAGTCTCTGCTCCACAAATTAGAGCTTTTTGGTTGCACCTTGAGCGCTTTTACATGAGTGAACGATCAGTCTGCTGCGAGAGTTAAAAGTTGGATACTAATTCATCTGGTCCATTAGTAAACAGTTCTAGTTCACTGTAGGTTGTGTTCCTTCACCTTCGTTTGTTTGCTACTTTCTTTTTATTGATTTATTTGTTTCCTCTCTTGTTTAACCCTCTAAATATACAAATAATGATATATTGCATATCTATGTGTGTATATTAAAGGAGAACCGAGGCAAACACTGATTTATAAAATGCTTATGATAACGTTTTAAAATTAAATTAAATGAGAGAATATGTATCTACAGCTTAAAACTGTCTGTGGATTGGAAAGAAAGCACAAAAGAAACATCAAAAAATTAATCCGTTTTCGACTAATTTCTGGTTTTTGTCCGATAACTGGATTAGTACTCAAACGTTTTCCGTTAACTAGATTATCAATCTCAATTTATGAAAATATTTTCATTGCACGTTTCCCCTTTCGCGCTGAGTAAATCCCACCACACCTTCATATGCTGACGGTTCATCCGTATTTAGAGTGAACACCTTGTTGTCTCCGTTGGAGGAAATATAATCTGCTCACATTCTGAGTACTTTGTCAAACTCAGACGGGTTTCCTACCGTATACGTAAGTTAGGACAATGCGCTGATAAACACTCATTTCTTTCTTCACATAGCAGTGTTTCTCTCGATTTTGCTTTATTATTTTCCAACGGTCCTTCCGGGAATAATAAAAAATACCTCAATGTTCCGGCTTGTGCATCCTCACCCACGTTTTAAGTCGTTCCAGGAACTCTGTGATCGTCAAATTATAAGGTCTTCATTGGCACTTTTATATGCATTCCGCTCCCTAGAGCCCCCGTAACAGTTCACGTACTCTCCCTTCCAGTTTGTCTCTCGCTCCATCATTCCCATCCTTTAAACTAAAATACGTCGATAAAACTGAATTATCACCACGAAAATGTATCGCACCCCGTTATACTCACTTAGTTCATTGAAGGTACGATATTACTCTATATAAGATTTCGAACCATATCGATATTATTGCACTCCTTAAACAACAGTGCCTCTAATTCATGTTTTAGGGGCGTACATTCCGAAGTGTTGGTGTACCTTTCGGGTAGGAAGAACCCAAGTGTTTTCTATGGCTTACACATTTGGGCTGCACGCTGGTCAGATTACTGTTCGGATGCCGTGAAATAATAACCAGTATTTTGTAGACACGAGTAACGAACTACGACGATATCTTACTGCAAAACAGCTTCAAGGTGATCATTTGATGCTAATGCTAGCATAAATGTGAATGATGTATCAGAATCATGCTTCCCATAGAGAAGTCGTTTAGACCACTGCTTGATATGACACGCCAAACCACTCACTGAATACAACTCTTTCCACAGATAACACCGGCAGCAGTTCCACGTGTGGAGTCCATGTGAAATCAAATTCCTTTTGTCACGAACGTAGGCAAAATTCCACTCTTTTTTCCAAATCACATGAGTTTCAGCTGATCACAAAAGCTTTTCTCTTTTTAAAGTTTTTAGAGATATGCCTCTCTTTCATTTTCTAGTATTTCCTCCAAAGTACCTTTCTCAATGTTCATTGTATCGTCCGCACCAAAACTTTCAACTCAAGTACCACGTCCATCCCCAATGACTGACTCTTGGAAATTGAAACCACACATAGTAATCTGCCTTTACCTCCTTCAGCGAGTTTTCTCTTGCATTCAGTCAGTTTATGACTGGTTTTAGGCTTTCTGCTCTTCTATTATCGTTCCACAGTGTGATCGGGGCTCATCACATGGTCTGGCTATCTTATGCGTGATGACCTTAAACTGATGAAAGGCATCACTTCTAGATCTATTGTTACCAATAAGCGTCTTCTATTGACTGACAATGGTTTGTAGTGACCTATTTGAGTGTTTTTGTTCGTTCAGGCTCTCTGAGAGTGCCCTGAGCACGGCCACTAGTCGACCACTAACTCAATAAGGTAATCAGCGGCTCTGTCGAAGTAAAAACTCGGGGAGTCTATCGCACCAGATTTTAGGCCGAGTTGGGTGTATGAAATACTTTCTTCGCGATGTCTGTAAGATCATAATACAAGTATATGGCTGTCCGCTAGCAGTTCAGTTATTAACGCGTCAAGATTGGTTTCAAATATCACAAGTCATTGTGATGGTCTGTCTTATTCTCACACCTCATCTATAAAGTCGGCTATTTGAACTACTGGACTACTACTACTCAAGCATTGATCAATTTATTTTTACAGCCGCCAATGACCGATCAAGAAATTGTTTACCCTGAACAGCTCGAAGTAACATGCACTTTTCGGTAGAAGAAATAGATTAATAAAACGCTATTTATTGAATCAGTGTAAAATTGATGATTCTTTTTCGCTGGCAAACTTCTGTTGGGCATGTGTGTATAGGGGTACTTTTGAACAACTAGTACTCAACCTACCAACACGTTATGTTTGTGAATTGAATGTGCATCGTTTGAACCAATACGAATGATACGCCATTTTCTGAATATTATGAAATAATCAATATCAGAGTGAATAAATAAGAAACATTTACTGCTTACGTACACCTGATTAGTAGAAACAACCAAGATACCAGTCTTTTTGGTTCCAAGAAAATGTTTTCAAACCATTCAGATAGTGCAGCATTAATGGTTATCCTAATTAATACTGAAACTTGTGCTATCCGAGATGATCTGTAACAATGCTAAGTATTCTGCAAACCGCATTCAAAGATGCGTTTGTGTGTACGCCTTTTATGCACTCCGAATGCGTATACGTTTTTAACCCTTAAACCATCTTCCCATCTAGCAAACATGATAGGGGAAAAATCTACATGTAAGCTCACTTGTTGGGAAATGGGAAATATGTTTTATTCGAGCTACTTTTTTCTCCTGAATTGATTCTCTACCAGAAATAATTCAATCACTATTTGATAAATTTGGATCATTTTAGCTCTACAACTCCACAACAATGGGAAAATTTTTCGCGTTACAATTGGGAACGTGCCCAGGCGGAAATCGGATCTGGTCAACGGTTGCGTGAGGCAATCTTTTTCACACTTTCACAAGTGGCCAATGATTTGGAGGCCCAAGCGCAAGCCACGGAGTTT